CATATAATATGTCAACAGTTGTATACATATGACATTTAAGTACAATAAAATAAGCGTTACATAAAGCAGTTACATATTTGATTTTTAAAATTAAAATTTTTATATTTTGTAGTTCACAAATAATGTGGTTTAGTTTATATATAGTTTATAATTTACTTTAATCAAAAACATGTCTGATATAAGTATTCTGTTTATACACAGATATGCAAATTTGTTACATAACTATTCAGAGATATAAGAGTTATAACTTTTATGAGTTATATAATAGTTTTGAGAATAAAAATGAATAATAAAATTAATTGAAAAACCAAACACCATATGAAGGTCAGGGTCTGCATTGCAAATGCGCCATACAAATTAATTATATAGCCATGGTCATTAACTTACAATAAACATAAATTGAAATTAGTTTCTAAATGTTTAAAATCTTACTGTAAAATAAATTCAAGTACCATAATTAGTTAAATCATCAAAATTCTCAGCATAAATAACATACGAGTAATATAGAGAGTGAGTACTGTATATACCACACAATAGTTAAAGTAATTGTATAAATAATTGACAAATTAAATAAGTTTAAATTATTGGGCTTGTATTGGACAGTAAACTCAATGCAAACATTTGATGGTATAATGAAAATGGTAAAACCAGTCATAGGGATTAAAAAGTAGCTATTATTTCCGGTTGTTTTTGATGGCCATAATCATCATCATGGTCATTTGGGTGAACAGAAGTAGGGCACCCAACATGACTAAACTTATTTAATAATTATAATTTTTTGGGTTCAGTTACCAACGGTTACACCACTTTCTTGAGTTCCAGTACTTCCAGCACAACCTCTTTGGTTGGTTGTCCAGATTTGCTATTGTCCGGACGGCCGGCCACACACTTCGGCCACGCGCTACAGACGATGATAATTGTGCCGTAAATAACGGTTCTTTAGCCGAAAGATAGTTCGCATCGCTATCATCGGGAGTAGCCTTTAGTGGTAACGTGTCTGTAGTGCTGACGTGTCTGTAGTTTGAGCGCCGGTACGTCTGTCCACCACTACATGCGGTTCGTGTGGTTGTCGTCGCTGTGCGTCCGCTGACAATATGTTGTGATAAATACTGTCCGAAATCAAAACGTCGAGCCATTCAGTAGGGGTTGTTATGGCCGACCGACTGTGACGACGACTTATTTACGTTGTCTATGGTTTCGTCGCCTCTCGTCGTGTCCTCTCGCGACTCGTGCCGACGCGTCTGACTCATAGTGTTGGCCACCAGACGACTGGCCATTTATTCAGTTGTTCTGTTTCATAATTTATTGGTTCTTCGGAGAACTGGAGGATGTGATCCCTGTATTGTTTGATCACTCAATTGTATGAAAGCTGTGTCTTCCAGGAAGAGGAGCTGAAAACGCGAGTCGGCTAAACATCTGTGTTGAGGTGAGGCGGACGAGCCGTCGGGCGCTGTATCTGTGACCGAGTTGTAGATCACGTGTTGCTTCTTGTGGTCAATTTGTTGCCGAATCCGACAATAAAACTGTTGATGTGTTTCACATAATTAGCCAAATATGTGAACCCTTTCCGACTGTACGGACACGAGTGGTGTTCAACTGTGGATACCCTTTGAATGCAAACATTGGGTGCAAAATAAACCCGTGTTTTGACTAATCTATCGGCGAATCGCTGGACACCTCTTCTTCGTCGTCGGCCACGGCTTTGGTCTTAATGTCTGCCAACTTTTCATTCGGTGGAAACGCTTTCATTGCAGTCATTTTGTCCGCATCGCTATCATCGGGAGTTGTCTGTAGTGCAGACGTGTCTGTAGTTTGAGCGCCGGTACGTTTGTCCACCACTACATGCGGTTTGTGTGCGAGTCGTGTCGCTGATCGGAGAAGAAGTTTCACCGCCTGTTTCAGTGGCCACCGATTTATACCATTGTCGGCACAATTGCATTGATTTTGCGAACAATTAATTTAGTTTCTGTATTAAAGTGTGTGTGAAGTGTAGGAAAGGTGTGTTCAATACAACGTTGACGTGTGGTCTTCGGCCTGACGAGAAATGGGTGTTGAGTTGAGCGGCGGTGGCGTTGACTCGACTGATGGGCTATCAATGGAGACCTGTTTACGTAGTTTCGGGCAAAAATTTGCCAAATATGTCACAAATGCGGTCACAATCGAGACAGCGATGCTCTCGCAGTGCCTACGAGTCCGTAGTGTCGGCACCGCTGCTATCAGTCTGGGGTCTCGGTGTTTGCGTTGCACTCACTTCGGGACCAGTTGTGGCCGACGCGGGCTTCACGTCGTCGAGAGTTGGCCTCGCATTCCGTGCCTCCACTTTCGTGGCCTTCCTTTGCGGCCAAATTGTGGTCACTTTTGACAACAATTGATGTCTGTTTGCCTTCTCTTTGCTTTCAATGCACTGGTTGTCAGTACTTTTGTGCAGACATTGTGTCGATTGTCTCAAACTTCTTGTATGGCGTCAACTGTTTGGCCACCGTTTGACTGAAACACACGTTTACAACACATTTGGTGTTTGGATAGCGAGTCCTTATATACAATCTTTATGTTTTATAAATATTAATTTTTATTCACTGGACTTAACAAAATAAAACAGTAAAATTATAAACCAGACAAACCTAGATTTTATTCATAAAAATCAGCATCATCCATCTTGGGTCCATGTGATTAAATGCCAACATCCAGCACAATCCTGATCCGTGTTTTAGGTTTACCTAACGTTTTAAGATGTTGTCCTGTAGGTATCGTATGAAACCATAATTAATTAACTCATAGCTCAAGTAAAATTATAATTAAATTTTACTTCACAAACACCATTAATTGAAAATAACTATTCATTCAGGCATACGTGACATATGCAACACGCCATACAATATTACTAACAGTACGAAAAATTAATTTCAATATTTGCTCATATTTAATAAATCACATAAATTATTATTTAATGATCAATTGATTATAAAGTAATTTACACAATGAATGTCTAAATCAAATAATAAATACATATCAAGCTTAAAAGCTTAAAGGCTTTTTAGCCTTAATTCAGTGCTAGGCATGTCATTTATACAATGGCGTGATTAAAGCCCTAAATTTTAATGTTAATATATTTTTGATCAGCAAAATTGTTAGTACTAAATACTACTTTATATATGCTAACTAAATTAAGTTTTAGATTATAGTCATAATTATAAAATTTACTTAATTAAATTACACTATTGTTGTCTACATTTAATTAGGTTCGTATATGAACATGTGTATTTATGAAAGATGTCGGCACTAATATTTATGTCAATTTATTAATATTAGAAATATATCAATATATGAAAATACTGTATGTAAAAATAACATACATTATGTTTTATAAATATTGATAATTTTTATTCAATGGAGCAAATAAAAAGTAAAATTATAGATTAATCAAACATATACTTTACGCATGAAAATATACATATCATCCTTATTGAGTCCGTAGAATTAAATGCCTACACCCGACACAATCCCGTTCCGTGTTTATGTTTTAAGAGTTTGTATTGTAAGCATTATCTTACACCATAATTAATTAACTCATCGTGCATACATATTAGCTCAAATAATTAAAATTATAATTAAATTTTACTTCACAAACATCATTCATTGGAAATAACTATTCATAAAGACATAAATTGGCATACGTGACACAAAATCAATTATTGCTAAAAGTAAGTGAAATTAATTGTCAATATTGAGCCGTATATTTATGTTATTAGAATTAATATTAATTGACTAGGTCAAGAGAATTACACAGAGCATCTACAAACCAGAATGTGGTCGAAAAATGTGTGGACAGCAACGCTGATGATGGCTATTGTTGTGATGGCAGCGACTCAGCTGGTGTGGGGCGGAGGCAAACCACTGGGAAGAATGAATCCGAAAACGGGAAAAGAGTACAAGAAACTATACGCCAATGGATTCACTCCGGTTAAAAAACACATACCGCTACTCGTTCTCAAAGACCTTAAAATTAATGAAACTCAAGCAGTCAAGATCTGCAAATGTAATCCCAAGGATGTGTGTATACTAGGTGACAGCTACGAACCGGACAATCCGGTAAACCATGAGTGTCGTCTTCGAGATGAGCATTTAGCTGCCTATATCAGGGACTATGCTTACATCACATGGAATTGCAACCCTAAATGCGACACAGATGTGTTAATTGTTTAATTCTAACATTATAATTGCTGATATTAAATGTAATAAATAAATCTTTGATTTAAACTTATTTCAATTTATTTTGATATTAATACAAAACAAAGTATCCAAACAAATATAAATATATATTTTCATGACTCATTTCTAATAGTACATTTAAAATACAATCTTTCTAAAATATGCTTTAATTTTAATTTTTTTAATTAAAAATTATTAAAGCAAGATACACATGGCTTACAATAAGTTTTATTTATAAAAATCAAAAATGGTTTAATATTGCAATATTACTCTAAAATATACTGTACATATTAGTACATTATTAACTTGTGTAATAATTAGTTATCATCGCTAACATCAGGAGTAGTCTATAGTGGTGTCACGGGTGTGTTGTCAACGGTAATATTTCCAGCACAACCATATATTTAAAGTTGATCTAGTGGCCATAATCATCATTATAGTCATTTGAGTTCTCAGTATTAGGGCTTCTAAAATGGCTAAACTTGTTTGATATTTACAATCAATTTTTGAATTTCTTGGGTTTGGTCACCGGCGCTGACTCCACTTACTTTAGCTCCAGTACTTCCAGCACAACATAACTTTAATAAATAGTATTTCAAACTATAGAAAAGTGCACAAAAAACTATCTAAATTAGTTTAATTCTTATTTACAGTACCAATTTGTAATTAAATAAATTAAAACAACTTTTATAAACTGATTGCAAAACTTTAATTAATCAAAACATAATAGTGATAAAAGTAAGATAAATAACTTATATAATTATAGTTGTTAGTAGATTGCTATACATTTATCAGCCAGATTTCTTTGGACAATCACTTTCGGGAACACACTCTTTGGTGTCGTCGTGTATGAAGAAGTCACGCGCGCACTCACACGCCGGGCCCGGGGTCTCCATGCAGTTGATGGGACCGAACGTACGCCTATTGGAGCAACTGATGGGACAATGAATGGACGCCTCTTCGTTCCACACCTGATTGGCTTTCGCACACTTTACCGGTTCGGTCGCGTTGGCCGTGGAGTCGGCAGTGGTTGTGGTTTGCGGTGTTGTTGTTGTTGTTATTGTTGTTGTTTTTGTTTTTGATTTTTTTGCTGATGTTTTCGATGTTGTTGTTGTTGTTGCTGTATTTGGTGCTGTATCGGCTACTTGTAACAGCTTATCTGTAGGTTCCGTTGTTGTTGTTTCTATTAAAATAAAAACATGATCATTACAAAACTTGTTTATGTAAATAGCAATTATTACAGCTAACTGATGCTAGTTGCGACATAAATAACCTAGCACGTAAACAATTAAGTACTTGTCTTTTTAGCAGGACAATCTTTTAAAAGGACACACTCGGCAGTGATGTCGTGAACGTAATGGTCGGGCGCGCACTCGCATCCCGGCCCCGGGTATGACATACAGTTGATGTCTCCGGTGCGCCAATTGGAGCAATTACTTAGACATTTGTCCGAATCTTCTTTCCACACCTGATTGGTTTTCGGACACTTTCCCGGTTCGGATGCCGTGTCTGTCGCCGTATCGGCCACTTGTAACAGCTTATCTGTCGCTTCTGTCGGTGTTGGCACAGATTGGCCAGATTTGGGACATTCACTTTCGGGCACACAGTCGCTGTTAGTGGTGTTGTCGCCGGTGAGCACGTAATGCTTGGGCAAACACTCGCAGCCCCCGACACAGCTTTCATCTTTACAGTCAATGCACATCGAAAATTCAACTGTCTTTCTATTGTGACAACTCGTGGGACAGACAGACGCGCGTTCTTTCCACTCCTGATTCGCTTTCAAGCACTTTCCCGGTTCGGACGCACTGGCCGTTGAGTCGGTAGTGGTTGTGGACTCATCTGTCGGCTCAGGTGTTGTTGTTGTAGTCTTTTTTGATTTTGGTGTTGTTGTAGTTAGTTTTGTTGTTGTGGTTGGTCTCTTTGTTGTAGTAGTTGCTTTTATTGTTGTTGCCTTGCCTAGCTGAATAATAATATTAGATATTGCCAAAAATATATATAATATAACATGTTATTTATATAATTAATTTTTAATTAAATTAATAATATTAACATATTATATTTATTGTAAAATAATCATGGTTAATATTTGAAACTAATTGATGCTGCATACTAACCGTCACCGATGCTTATCTTGATCGCCATGATGATGCCGATGATAATTATAAGTTTATACATGTTTATTAATGGCGATTAAATATGTGATATTTATTTTTAAACATATGGTTTACAATTTAATTAAATTTTTTGCACATAAAAACAAGCGACGTTATCATTTAATAATATGGTATTCACAATAGACAGCATCTATTATTATTAACTAGATAATAATTTATTAATAAATATGTTACAGACTATGCCAGACTGGGTCTGCACACCACTGGTTCCTTCAAATTGGCTCAAATATGTTATAAGTTTTGTTAAATGTTTTATATTTGTCGTAATTTTTTACATAGTTTTTATAGTAAATTCTCTAACTGATAGTTTTATATAAAAATCCCTAACCTTTACTAATTAAACCCTGATGTTATGCCCTATCAATTCAGTCTGGGATTAAATATAAACTAATTAACAGTGTTTTTATTTCAGACCATCTCTTATGGTAACTCTGACTGACTGCACGTCAGCATCGGGTGCAACGGTTCCGGAGGGCGCCCTCCGAACGCAGCCGTTGCGCACGTGTGGCCACCAGTAGTAGGCCTGCAAAAGTCACCGCCAAACTCGTGGATTGCTTTGGTGTCTGACAGGCGCTGTCTCTTTCAATGTTGTCAGTGCCCAACGCCGCGTTGCCGGACTCCATAGGTCGCCATCATTCCGGTTAATAGTGGTGAGTCCGTTGTTGACCACCAGTTAGAGAGAGAGAGAGAGAGAGAGAGAGAGAGA